GGGAATAACAATCAGCGAGGCGGAGGGGGGGGGGGGGGGGGGTAGGGGGGGGATAGGTGGGGGGGGGGGGGGGGGGGGAAAACAAGATTGCAAGATTGTAGTTAGAGGGGGGGGGCATGGGTTGGGTGGGGGGGGGTCCCTTTCCGCCGGGGGGGGGGGGTAAATTGAGAGATAAACCGCACGGGATGGGGGGGGGGGGGGGCTGGGGCTTGGGACAGCATTACCGAGGGTTGACAAGGCATAGTATTCGGTACCACACGGTACCACATATTAGACCCTCGGTTTTCAAAGTTGGATTGCTCCATGGGTGCCATTGCCGAACGTTATGTATTCTGATTCTGAAGCTTAAGCTTTCGACAGGAACTTTCTAACGTTGCTCTGTTCGGCGGCCGCGCTTACTCTGTTGCAAAGCAATCGAGCTAGCTTTCAAACTCGGCCTGGGGAGGGGGTTGACACACACCGTCACATGCGGCATTCTGAAATATATACGTGGTTTCCAACCATCGTGGGCATTGTCATCCTTAGCACGACCAACATCAATCGCAAATCAACGGCAAACGGACAAAAAAACTACCCGTCCATTACCTTTGTCACGAAAATAGGGCCGCGTAACCTCGAAGCAGACAAGCCGCAGGATGCTAAACAGATAGACGAAGAACAAATCACATGGTTGATTATCTGGCAGCAAAGCACAACAACCACCACTACGACCAACGCGGCAAGCACAGAGCCACCGACGCTTTCCTGCAAGCAACAACAGCAGAACACACGACCTTGGCTTTGTCGCTGTCATCTCTCACCCACAAGCGGTATAAGCAACCAAACAACAACAACAACAACAACAACAGCAGCAGCAGCAGTCTCGTACCTGGAACCGCAGGAACCGCAGGGACGGCAGTACGATGTCCGGGTCCATGTCCACCAGCTGGAGCATCAGCTTCGTCAGGGCACCCTCCTCCAGCCGTGTCTGGCACTGCTTTACTCTCTGCGTTGTTTCGGCGAAGGCGAGAGGGCGGTAACCATAATGGTGGTTGAGCAGATTCTGGTGTGCGGGGTCGAGAACCCTCACTCCGCGCAAAGGGGGGTAATCGCATCCCGTTGTCTTAAAATGGTCAAGCATCCTCGAGGCAGTTACACAGTGCTTACAACTGTCTCTGGAAGTGAAAGCACCAGAAAATAAATTAAGTCATACGCAGCAGTCATCCGTACGCAAGGAAGTAAGCACAAGATGCCGAACACCCTTAGCAGGGTGCAGCGCACCCTTCATGCGACTCGCCGAATACCTCACGGCGCTTCGCGCTTGGTGATGTGGGAGCCTGGTCCGGTGAGAACCCGACGTGCTCCGTCCCGGCTTTGTAGGGATGCGAGGTCAATGATCTAACGACTACGGCATGCACGACTATGAGTACACCCCCTCCCCGCGCGCGCGCGGCAATACGGTCGAATAACTACTGCATGCAACACATG